TTGACAGAGGATGACATCTTGGAGATAATGGGAAAAGGGAATGAAAGCTTGTGGCCAGTCATAGAGTCAGTTGAAAGTGATGGAAGAGAGCCGATTGGAATGGAGATATTTTTACTAATGGTTAAGTTAGTCATGCTAATGAATATTTCAGAAAGTGGTATTTTCTTCTTCAATGACACGAATTGTTTTTTTTACTGAGTTTTAGAAATATAAGCCAACATTTCAACGCATTGTTTCTTTACCCTTTAACCAATTATTATAAAAGTTTTTGTACTTCCCAATGAACAAAAAAAACTATATGGTGTTTACGGATATTTCGTTATATGATGCTCTTAATGGTTTTATAAGAGTAGCTATATTAAACCAGAATTCACAAAATCTCAGCTTATGTACAGTAGCTTAATTATCGTTCTTCACATTACCAGGTAATTTTTACGTTGTCAAGTCTGTTCACTGGTAAAAACAGAAATTATGAAAACAGCAAGTGTTTGAAGAATGAAATTGCTTATCATATTTGTAATGATTATGTCATTCTCTGTTTGCGTCAGTTGGAACCAAGTCGAATTCTGTTTGAGTCCATCATCCCTATTCAGACAATCTGGATTCCATTTGACATGAAGTACTGCTGATATGAGACTTTCTTCGAAATTTCTGAAATTTTTTTGGATGATGATTTCACTATCGTCAAAATCAATTTTGTGACCTGATTCTATAGAGTGTAGATATATGGCTGAGGAGTTTTCCAGCTCTTCTAGTTCAACTGGATTTATCAGTGGTCGAAAAGAGTTTCTACGTGTTCACTTCTTCTGATCTTCTTGATTTCTTGCGAGGTTTATCAGATGTATATCACATCACACTCCAAGAATTTTATTCTAAAGACACAGTTACTTTGTGAGTCCCTTGGAATTTTGTCTTTTAAATGGACAAGGCTGCTTTTTAGTGCAACTGTTGTTTTTAGGACACTCTGTTGTTGCGTTTATTGAGTACTCTTCTGATGTCGTCTGACGTTTCCAATCTGTATGGAATGACAAATACTGAGGTCCAAGTCTTCGGAATACGTTGTTGACCATGTTTATTGCTCCTGTTGATTTTGGTGGTGAAATTTTTTGGATAGTAATTTTTCTTGACATTTTCGGTGATACTTGATAATTCTTCTTCATTTTCCTCCTCACGAGTTACCAAAGTGTGTGCTCGTCTAGTAAGGTTTAAGACAACTCATAAATTTGCACTGACGGGGTGTGATGATCCGAAGTCTAGAAATTTGTTGGGGTGTGTTTTCTTCCTGAATATTGGACATATTAAAACATCTATTTTCTTACCCCATTAGCTAGGCAGTCTAGAAAAGACAGCTTATCGAAGTCTGATTCTGCTTCCGAAGTAAACTGAATGCTGGAAGATAGATTGTTCAGTTTTTCCATGAATGAACCATGTAGGTCTCGTTTTAGTACAATCAAAGTATCACTAATGTATCTTAGCCGCGTTTTAGGTGTTTGTTTGGGATGTTATCTTCACATGTATTGATGAAAAGATCAGGGAAACGGATGAACACATGACTACACCATTTGTTTGTCTACATAAATTTCCTTTAAATGTAAATAAATCGTTTTCAGACAGAACTTTAGGGTTTTCATGATTTCACTGGTGTCTAGTGGACAAATTCCGGATAGAATTGTGTCTGGTTCTAGTAAACTGAAAATGATATCACAATTTGCGGTAATGGGAATGTTAACATCATAGCTTACTATAATATCTTCTTTATTGATTTCCCGGTTTTCTGTTTTGGATCTGAAATCATATGAATCTTCTATGGCATTTTGAGTGTCCTTTCAGAGTGGTTTCAATATTGAAGATAAGTATTTGAAGAGGTTGTAAGTCGGTGAGTTGATAAAGTCTATTGCTGGTCTTAATAAGACTGTAGGTTTGTGTATTTTTGATTGACTGTAGAATCGTGAGGGTACATAGGATTTCGATTTCAGTTTAAACCAAAGAGAATTTCCAATTTCGGGTTTTAGTTCATGAAGAAGTCTGCTGATATATTCAATTTCATCTCGTTGACTTCAGCTGACTTCTTTTCTTCAACAATTAAACACCATCCATCGGAAAATCTTTCGGTTGGCTTATTCTTATAATCACTTGTGTTCATTATCAATATGACAAATCCCTTGTGAGTTTTAGTTATAACAATGTTTCTGTCTTCAAATGAACTGTCGTCAAAATTTGACAGAATAGTTCAAAAAAATTTGGGCACCGAGTGAGAAGTAGACATTTGTAAAAATTATATTTGTAAAATCTCAGCGAGATTGAAATAAGTAATTCCAACGTTTTGTTCGGCTTTCGGATCCGAACTTCTTCAGGGAAATTAATCGAAATTAACATAACAGAGGTTTTATATATAAAAGGCACATCTTTTGTTTTTAAAAACTTTGTCCAATTATATGATTGATGAAACAGGTATCAACATGTATAATAAACAAAATTGTATGAGCTGTGATCCAAAATTTGACCTCGGACTTAAAAAATATTGGTCAACATTTGTTAAACACTTTAAACAGAGTGTGTATGTGTGTAGGTAAATAGTTGTAAAACATTTCTTAACGTTTCCATAAGAAGATATAGACGATCGGGAATTTTGACCAAGTATTATTAATTAGTGATACATATCCATTTTTATTTATTAATCAGGATTTGCTTTGTATCAGCTAACAACATCACACCTTCATGTCGGTTCAAACTGTTAGTATCTAGAATTTTATGGTTAGACGTATTTTCAAAATTATGGTGTTTAGGATTAGAGTTTAGTTGAAGCACCCTGTCGCACTTATCGCTTCGTCGTCTTTTTGAAGATCGAGCTGCTTTATTCAGGTGGCTTGACAGCTACGGATTTCGGATATGCATTCTGTTGCAGACAACGGAGAGTGAAAACACGATGATTGTGCCAAGTAACTAGTTTCTTTGTTAATTTAATTCGATTACAAAATAATTCAAATGAACTGTCTTCAAGATTTGACAGAATAGTTTGTTGCCTGGCATGTTGTTTATGGTTTTAATGTTTTTCACATTTTTTGTTGAAATTTTCCTTGATTGTTTTATTTCTCCCAGTTTCAAAAGTTTCTGTATTTTTCTTCTTTTGGCAGCATTAAGAAAATGTCACTCTCGTTCATTAAATTACTTTCGGATTCAAACCAACTTACACAAGATTTCACAGACCGATAATTTTAGTCTTCAAGGATCGTGTCTTCAGTATAGATTTAAATGGGAGAAACCAACCAGCATGTAATGTGACAATTGTTAATATTTTCTAACCGTAATATTATTATTATTGTCTCCTTTAGTTCCTAGAGGAATATTGGGCTTCAGCCAAACGTCTTCATTGCGTTCGCTCCTCTGCAAACCTTTTCAACTGGCTTCACGTCTGCCCAAATGCTTACATCTCCTCTTCACATGACCTCCTCCGTGTCATCCTCACACTAACGAAAAACTCGCCGCTTCCCATTCGGGTTCTACTCGTGCGATGGCCTGTCTTGTGATGTCACTTGATGGTTTGTTTTCTCAGAGTATGGCCAATCCACCTCCATTTCTTTATACATACTTGTTGCACGATCGGTTCCTGCTGGTTTCGTTCGCTCTTTGCCAGAGATCCCTCCCTGTCGCTGATCTTCTCTGGCCGGCATCTGATTTTGAGTAGTATTGAGCGAAGACAGCTGTTGATGAAAGTCTGTAGTTTGTTTGAGGTGCCCTTCATGACGCGCCAAGTCTCTGGTCCATATAGTAGCATTAACTGCACAATGAAGTTGAAAATGTGGAACTTATATATCACGCTGAGTGCTGCTGATCTCCACACAGACTTGAGAGTGATAAAAATTTGTATTGTTTTCCCAATCCTCGCTTTCATGTCCTCATCAGTTCCGTCTGCCTGTAGTTGAAACGACGATGCTCACCAGGTAGATAGGTGAAGGAGGTTGTTTCTTTCAGATTTCTTTTATTAATGCTGGCTGATTGTTGTCTGTTGTTGTTACTGTTGCCGTTGGCCAGTAATCTTCATCACCTCTGTCTTCACTATGTTCACCTGAAGACCTTTTTTCTCTGGATGCTTCTTCTGCCAACTTGTTGCTTTTCACTTGCATATCATCCAGTTTGTGGGAAATCAGACTTATATATGTCATCGGCGAAGTCCAGATCCTCCTAGTGTTTTGTGTAGGTCCATTTTATGCCTGTCTCCTCGTTGCCCGTATAATACATATTTAATATCTTTGCGTATATGTATAAACCGGATTAAAAAGCACACTATAAACATAAGGCCTCAGGCTTAAGACCCTAAAGTCTCAATAGCCTCGGTGTTTCTTCAAGACGTTGTACTGCAAACTTTACGATAACCATCCCTCTTTTCCGTGCTGACTATGTCAATGTGTCTATCGGGAATCGAACCCAGACTAAGTGAGTAGTTGGAGTGAGTCCTACCACTATACCACTGGCGTATGTGCTGTGAAATGCTTGGTAAGTTATTTTAATTTTCTATAATTGGTTTGTAGGGGTTAGTTTTGTTTTTACAAGTTGATCACGGATCGATATCAGTTAGATAACCATTGAAAACCAGGGAGTACTGGACAGCTGTTTCATCCTAATTTGGGGGTCATCATCTGTAGACACCCACTGAGGTTCGAACCCAGGACCTCCCAGTTACAAGGCAAGCATGTAGACAATTCAGCCACTGGGACCCAATTCAATGCCTCGTGAATTCTAACTCCTACCAATTCGTGATTTAGCGTGACCCCAACCCATGTCGTCGGTGGGACATCCATTCTCACGCGTGACATATAAATGGCCCTCACTGGTTTTCAATGATTCTCTAACTGACATCAATCCGTGATCAACTCGTAAAGTTATTTAAACACAAAGTTTAAGATTCCACCTGATACAGTGTCGCAAACAAAGAGAGAAGCATTGTGAACATCTTCATATTACATCGACGTATCAGATATAATGAATACATAGAGACTTACGGAAGGAAGTTATTTTCAATAGACAACTGATTACATCTTAATTTAAAGACTTCTGCAAATAGATTCGATTTCACTTGCTGTTGTTGTTGAGAACTGATGTGTATTATATGGAGTAGAATTAAGCACAAAGCTATACGCATTACTCCTAATTTTTGGCTGGCAGAAATCAATTACATGTGAATCAAATGTTATTTACAATTGAAATTTCTCTTTATAACTTTTGCATATATACTACACCTACACAATCAGCTGTTCTGTATGTAGGTGAAAGCTCTTATTTGTTTATTTAAATGCAGAATTATGCTAAAATATAAAAAAATGAGATTACATGGCTGCTTTGAATGCAGATGTGTAACAAATCATCAATTGTCTTCTGTCTCTCACTCTCTCTCTTGCTCTATTGGTTAGTGTTGAAAATTTTTACCGCAGCGTCAAGTGTATGAGCAGAATTCTTTTTGAAATAGTCAATTTAGGGAGTTGACTGCTGAAATCTAAACACTAATTTATTCCCGTGTACGTAGCTTCACCATCTAATTGATATTATCAAGTATTGGTTTGATAGGGATTTTGTTTAACTGCATGGAGGATTTCATCATGAGCTGACATCAGTTAGAGAACCTTTTGGAAAACCTGGGAGTACTAGACAGCTGTTTCGTTGTAGTTTGGGACTCTTCATCAGTACGCGCCCATCGGGATTCGAACCTAGGACCTTCTGGTAACAAGGCGAGCTCGTCTACCCAGAAGGTCCTAGGTTCGAATCCCGATGGGCGCGTACTGATGAAGAGTCCCAAACTACGACGAAACAGCTGTCTAGTACTCCCAGGTTTTCCAATGGTTCTCTAACTGATGTCAGCTCATGATGAAATCCTCCATGTAATTGATATTAGATAATATCGGAACTCATTCAGTGGGCTAACTACACCAGAGAACAATGTGATCACTTTTAACTATTTGACCACTACTCTGCAATCTGTCTTTTAAACGTACCAGTTAACAGCGTTTGATACTGAAAAAATAAAACAAAATAAGTAGTTAATATATGTGTAACATATGTTCACCCCCACTCCAAAAGTATGGTGGAGGTATGTAGATGACACATTCTCACCGTACTTAAAAGACAAGATATCGATAGATATTTCGTACACATGAGGAGCAGTCAAATTGGTTGACACACACAGAAAAGGGGGAATTAGGCAGTTTATCTTTTACTCCTGAACGCGAAATAGGGATGGTTTTGAAGACACAGCATAATTCGGCAGCACTGAATGCTTTTTTTTACAGCATTTCCCTAGGCATTGTTTTAATACCCACTGATGTTATCCCCAAGCAACTCAAGTTGAAAGAATAAGGGCTTTCTCGGAAATGCTGGTATTGTAACCTGCCTTGACTGCTCCTGTGGAGCCACTTACATAGAGTGTAAAATTAGGCGTGTTTCTCGTCGAATTTCTGGAACACCATTCTGTGTGGTTAAATAAGGAACAAACAAAATCTATCCATAGCGCTATTCTATCTCATCTTGTGGATACAGAACGCAAGATTGATGTTAACAAGGTAGCTTTCAAAGTCATCTACCGCATGCTAACCAATCTTGACTTTACATTAAGAGCTCGTCTACCACATGTCGCTGAGGCTATTGACATCGACAGTATGATATCTAATTTATGTACCCAAAAGAAGCTGGTTCAGACGCTTTCCTCGTTCATTAAAGTTTTAATTATGCTCAACTTTTTATAGAGATTTCCTTGGTTTTATTTGATATTCTATTTGCTATTATTATACTGTTATGCTTATTATAACTTTTCCATAGTTTCTGAACTGTAATTTCGTTGATCTTAACAAGTCGATATTATTTATAAAAAAACAAAATTGCAAGTGATGATTATTCTAGATTATTCTCCGTGTATAAATATATATATACGTTTAGTTTTAGAGCCGGAAGAAGGCCGGGGTTTGCCTCCCGTATATTCCATGTATTCCTAAACTCCGCTAAATTGGAAGTTAGCTCAGTAAAGACGGAAGGTTGGCGGTGAGGCTAGCAATTCTACCTCATGAAAAGAAAATGCTATTGAAAGTGTCAAGCTCAGGGTAGAAGCTTCTGTAGCTTCAATTCGGAACTCCACGGAATAAAATAAGAAAATAAGCATCGTATTATGTTTTCTGATACTGAATGCATCAGTTGACCTGGCGTTCAATGAAAACAAATGGATAACTTATTGTTTAGTCTCTTGATATTCTTAAACAAACATTCTACGCAAATCTGTCAAAATATGTTGTTTGATCTCCCATGAATATTAAAGCGTAATTTTGAGAATGCAATTTAGTTTATTTCGAAATATATACTTCACTGGGAAGTCATAACTTTGTATTTTCTTGCAATCCTTACACAATTTCGTGCTGCATAAGTTTGAAACTTGAAAAATCTTTTCCTGGTAAGGACTTTAAACACTGAATGACCTTCTTATCTTACCTCTTCAGCAATCGAAACACCATACCCTTTTTTATTAACAAACGTGTCCTTTTGTGAAGTCTTAGAGGAAAGATGTCAAGTATTAGAGTATAAATATGGCAAGAATCCAATAGCCGATATGATTGAATTTACAAAAAAATATGCCTACATGATCAAACAGGGAGAGTTTTATGAAAGTTCTATAATAATTTGTGACAATACTGAAAATGGAGTCTCAGATAAACCATTTATAGACCGCTGTCCGAGGCTAACTTATGATGACGCACATAGAGCAAAAAGAAGTAATAACATTGTAACGACAGAAGACAAGTGTCAGGCAACAGATCGCTTATTGAGAAAATCAACAGATATTTATGCATTTTTATGTACATTATCATTCGTTATTTTAGCAGAGAGGTAACGTCTTCTGATTGGTTGTTTTCATGCTGAAGGTTATTCTGTCATCTCTTTGTTGCCGTTTCCTAGACAGTTCGTTGATGTATCTGCCAATCGTATCCGCCCACGCTAAGTCTGCTGTGATTGGTTGGTGAGATCCTCAAGGTTAAGCTTTGTTCTTGCTTTTTCTCATGACCACGATTTGGGACGAAAACTTTGAGGTAAATTGTTAACTGGATGTCGACGAGCCACACTTGTAGGGGACTGTCTAGTGAGCTCAATAACATAATAAGTATGTGAATAACATTTCAAGTTAATGAGATTATAGTGTAACAGTATATTATAAAAAAAATACAGTAATGAGTTATATTAATTAAACGGTTACTTGGATATACAGTTAAAGTCCACGGCTAAAAATTACTAATATAATCCACAGAAGCGTTCACTGCTGGAGTTGTGTCTACTGGTAGGAGATGTGTAACGGTTGTAGAATAGTCTTCGGATGAGGATAAGAGGTTCCTTCAAAAATCCAAAGTATACAACTAGGTTATGAGTGAAGCAAGTAGACAGTAGAGAACAGCGAGAAGACGAAACGAACAACAGTACACTGCATTTTAGATTGTACTCAGAAGTTATCTATATTCCAACATGAATTGTTTTAAAGTTTTCCCTAATTTCAGCATCTAACAAAAAGGTGTATAATGACATTCTTACATACTCCACACACTTTACTCAAATGACGAATATTACGAATCAGTCAATAAGGGCTAAAAAGATTCCGGATTTAGCAGTTAAATCCATCTGTAACTGTGAGGGAAATCATTCTTTTTTAATCCTTTACTTTCCGAATGGAATATAGGACTTCAGTCTAGGAGTCTTGATGTTTCGGTGGCAGAAGTATTTTATTTTTATTTCTGTTATTTTTTGTTTTAATCCTTTTCCCTTTAAAATATTGACCTGCACAACCGTAGTCTGCTTACCTGAACACTGAAGGTGTTCGTAACATGAATAACACTAAGTGATCTCACTTCGAATCTCGAAACAAATTTATGATCAACAGTAGTTTCTACACATTTTCCTGATGAGTGGTATAGGCAAGTTTCTAATTAATTCCAACATACAGAACAACAAAGTGAATGAAAAGGGCAGTTCAGTAATCCCTACACGGATCAGGTTTTTGGCTTAATATCCGACACCATGGGGTCTAATGAGAACGTTATCATTCAGAGACTGTAATTGTTCATGGACATTTGGATGTAGGTAGACATGTTAATTGTATGACAATTTACTCTGATTATATTCAGATATTATTGATAACTGAGAATAACCTTATTTGTGCAAAATAAGACGACATTGAATTTCTAGTATGCCGTCGATAGAAGATGATTTACGCCTGAGGAAAACTTGTATAGATGAAACCTTCAGTGTTATTAGAACCCCAGTTTTCCACAGACTCTACCGATGGCCTTAGAATAGATAAAAATTACAGTTGTCAGGCACTCCTATCTGAAAACCTTTGTGAATTCGGAATTCCTTTGGTTCATAACTATTTGAAATTGTCAGTGAATTTGTTGTTTTGTTAGTATCATTGAAGTCCTATGTATTCACGATCACAAGTCAAGTGTTTTGACTGCTGTTTAAGACTGTAAAAGTTGTCTTGTCAGCAGAGGATCTTTTCTTCAATTGTCGTGTATCAGCAGTATTGTTCCTGTTATAATCAACGTTGCTATTGGTGACTGGAGTGATATACGTTAACGAACCTGTTTGTTGTATTGTTCGCAGTCTACTACGTCGTATAACCAGTCATTTGCAGTTTGGATGAATAAATGCAATTGGTACCCACACAAACAGTGTTCAATAGACAGCACTTACATAAAAGACTCACGTAAATTAGAGCATAAAAAATGAAAATTTAGCTGCTGAATATTTGGTGATATGTCTTCTCTGAGGAACTGATGTACAAGTCCTTATTTGATGTAATCAGGAGTAAGAATGTCAATACATATGAATACACTGTAATTATCAGATCTATAATTTTCACTGTCACCATCATATTCGGGTTAAAATTATGATTTGTTTGTTGATCTGCAAACAAAACTCACTCCATTCTATGCGCTGATAGAGTGACAATTGTCTGGGAGTAATAAGAAAAGTTCGAATTTACTCAAATCCTTTTCAATGGAAGTCGAAATCAGAAATTTTCGTGGTAAAAACGCAACGTGAAACGCATGAAAAGACTGGAAATGTACTTCTCTCAATGTTTTATGATGACTATGTATGGAGGATCTTGATAGAATT